CCCCAAAACCCCAAAACCCCAAAACCCCAAAACCCCAAAACCCCAAGCATAGTCACCAGGATTGAAGTATTCCATTTCCGTATTGTTTAATAAATAAATTCCCAAATTTTAATTAGAGATGGTACACCATTTCAAAAGATTTACAAGACATTTCACCAACTGGAATAATAAAGACAGAAATGGTGACATAGATTAACACAGGAAAGAGAGAATAGTAGACAGTGATTAACTTTAACCGATGCTTTTAAAGGAGATATTTAAACCTTTTACAAGCAAGCTGATGATCCCCTTGCTTATTTTATGCAGAATGGCTAGATCCATCTTCAGATTCTTCTTCATCCTTGGATTTAGAAGAAGCATTCTGGAGTTCTACAGAAGACTCTGATTTGCTTTTGTTTTCATCTTCGCTATCTACTTCTTCACTATCTACTTCTTCACTAGCTTCATCTTCACTAGCATTATCTTCATTGATTTTAGAGTCATCGTCTTTTTCAGACTCAGTTGTATTATTTTGTGCATCAGATTTGTGTAAATCTTTTTCTTTTTCATCTTCATCATCTTCTTCATTCTCACTTACATAGCTCGCTTCACTTTCACCTTCTCCTTCTTGAGAGGATTGAGAAAGACCCTTGAGTTCATCAGAAAGTTCTTTGTTCTCTCTTTTCTCTAGAACAGTTCCTAGTATTGGTCCTGTATTGCTTACAGTGTTGCCTACACTAGTTTCTTTTGCGAAATTGGGATTCTTTTGAGTACCGATCCTTTCGATCTGGACTTCCTCATCCCCATCAGAAACTTTCACTTCCCGTATCTCTAAGTCGGTATCGGTGATGAGGAAATCAACTCTTTTCTGGCTAATCCCTCAATCTTTGATCTGCAGTAATTTCAAAGAGTCACATAGTTTGCATTTGTCAAGGGCTTTGAGGATATTCTTGACCTCATTTCTGCTTTCTTCCCAGTCTAATTCCTCATGATTTCTACATTTTTCGAATATCAGTTTTTCAATCCTGTAATCAATTTCTTCCTGGTCTCTGGCGACATCCAGAAAGTTCTTATTTCTGTCGATCGGGCGCTTAAATTTGACCTTAAGCTGCCTATCAGCTTCCTTCTCTTCCTCAGTCTTGCCCTTAAAGGACACTATTTGGTCAAAGGAGATATTGTCAGTTGCAAGGATTCATTCTGAGAACCAGACTTTACGAATGGAACATGAGCGTTTGATGACGAGTTCAAATTCGTTTTTATTTTAGCTTAAACCCACAGAGTTTGAACACCTTAGAGATCCTGGGTAAGCACTTGAATAGCTCAAATTGGTAGTATCCAATCTCTTTGTCTTTAAATTTAGGCTCTTGGTCGAAGTAGAACTTGTCAACGTTTCTTGGCATGTGGTTGATCAAGAAGTATTTAACCCTGCTATCCTTTGGCTCAAGCATCTTGATGATCCTCACTATTCTCATATTTGGAATCCGTCCGTGGCTAGTATTTTCTCGCTGTCTTCTAAGTGCAAGAATAAGAATTTTAGTAAGTTTGCTTCTAAAATCTAGATAAAATTCATCATTGTAATCCTTGTCTTCAACTACAATGCCGAGTTGAGAGCAATCTTTGAGGCAAACTCGGAGTTCTTGAATTGTCATATCATCTTGACTTCTCTGAATCTCTCGTTCAATATTTTTCTTGTGGACTCTCTCGTTTTTGGTTTGCCTACTAGCAATGCAACCCATTATTAGTTAAACTTAAATAATTTTATTATTCAGGAATAACCCCTTTGTGGGGTTTTGGGGTTTTGGGGTTTTGGGGTTTTGGGGTTTTGGGGTTTTGGGG